ACCAGAAAGATCTAGTTCCGTATCAGTATCAGATGCTGAAGGATCATCAAGTTCAAGTACAGAAACAGAAGGTACATCCCCAGCTGCAACCGAAAGAGTAACAGAAACTGCATCTGCACTATCGACACAGACACCAACGGAATCACCAGAAAGATCTAGTTCCGTTTCAGTAACAGATGCTGAAAGGTCATCAAGTCTAAGTACAGAAACAGAAGGTACATCCTTTGCTGCAACGGAGCGATTAACAGAAACTGCATTTGCATCATCGACACAGACTCCAACRRAATCACCAGAARGATCTAGTTCWGTWTCAGTARYAGATGYTGAAARKTCATCAAGTCCAAGTACAGAAACAGAAGGTACATCCTCGGCTGCAACGGAGCGTTTTACAGTGACTGCATCTGCATCATCTACAGTCACTGTATCATCCAGAATTGGTTCAACTACCAGTGCTCTTATTTCTTCTTCTGCAGAACCTGTATTAGATTATACTTCTACAACAAATCTTCCTATCTCTCCAGATTCTCGTTCTAATAGTTCTGAATGTACATCTCCTGGATTCTTCCCAAATCCAGATGATTGCTCTAAGTTTTACAGATGTGTTCGTATCGGTTTGCTGAATTTATTTACTAGGTTTGATTTCGTGTGTCCTGACGGACGTGTTTGGGATCAAGACTTGTTTATGTGTAATTTTCCATGGGCCGTAGCAAGCTCCAATTGTAAGGAGAAGGAATTTCCTACTCCAGATATAGATGATGAATCTGACCCTCCAAAAGATAACAACATATGTCCAATTGGAAAATTGACTGGTGATCAAATTGCTCTTGTTTGTCCTTCTGGATTCCGAAAGCATCCCAAATATTGTAATATCTTTTATCAGTGTACATCTGAAAGTAATTTGGACGTCAATATTGCCTTGTTTGCTTGCCCTGATGGTATGATTTACAACGCAGAGAAAATTCAGTGTGTTCTTGCTAATGTGTTTAACTACTTATTCTTAGGCTGTAAAGACATTCTTGTCAATCCGACGGATAACTTTGTTCCCATTGTGAGTATTTTATCTCTTTTATGACACTTTTAAGTTTATTAGAATTTTATTTATTTGTAATTAATTTGTTTTTCAGTTGAACGTACCGTCTACTCCACTTTGTCCATACCCAGGATCTTTTCCATATCATCCAGGTTGCTCAAATGCATTCTTCAAATGTAGACGCGATCGAAAAGGCTTATTACGAGGTTATCTCTATAAATGTCCTCCTGAAAACGTATTTTCTCCATTTTCAAGAAAGTGCGAGCCTGCAAAGTATTTTCCTCAATGTTTAAAAGTTAGGGCTAATTATCGTATGGAATCTTCCTCTAATATGCATACGACCCATCATAATATCTTTTATTTTGGAAAACAATTACCTTAAAATCTTATATAAACTTAGAACGCATTTACATTTACTATTATCATTAACAATATCTTCCTTATGTTGCGTAAAATAAAGCAATAATTATTACAGCATTTAAGAAATATTGTTAAAAATTAGAAAACGAGCGAGCGTCTAATGAAATAATAAAAATTACATTGTAGACTATGTGATGAAATTACTAATTTCATATAAATCTACTTCCCACTGCTAAATAAAAGTAACATTGTTTTTTCAATATTAATCTTAGCAGTTAATAGAACATGACTGTCATATGAAGCAAGATTTCTGAAACTTTTTCGTTTAGTGACCCCCTTTATCCGAGTAAATATCTTCGAAACTAGAAATTACAAATTCCAACTTTTGCTGAGAATAACTCATTAACTAAATTTATTCGAAAATACGCTATAAGTGTAGCGTTGCTAATCTTCAAATTAATTTTCGGTCCTGACATAGCTAGGAATTTATATTTTTTAATAAAATGTCTGCGGCCCCATATAGAGTCGCTGACTACACTTTGAGGAGCCTTGATATATAAAGTAACGTTAAGTTATTTAATAAGACGAGTTAAGTCCGCCTAGAGACTTCAACGCGTCAATATCATCATCCTTATAGAATTTAGTACTTATTGTTAGTATATGCTCGTGTATATACTTTTTGTTATTATTTGACAAATATATACATTATTCTCAGTCCTGTTTTTTGCTTGAATGTCATACGAATGTAATGTATAAGTTAATTATTAAATTATTATTTTTCTGTTTCTATGAATAACGGAGTTTATCAATAATGTTTACAATGTTATACGAATATAAAATTCTGAACTAATGTTGATGAACAAAGGTCTCATTTGAAAGAAGAAAATTCAAACGTTTAAATGATCAAGCTACTACTAATCCAGCCATATTGACTCGATTTTTGAATTACGCGCGAGAGATTATAATCTACCTAACCTATATAACGATACGATATAACACATGGTAGAAACACTGTTTCTCACTTGTGCTTGTAATTCATATTTTGTCCGTATCTGTCGCTAAAGTCGTATATGCTTCAAGAATATAATGTAATGGAGAGCTTTATTGTAAATAGATTTGTACGAGCGAGGTTTTTATTGCGTTTAATTAATTCCAATTATCTATAGCTATCCTGAATCACTAAAAGTTACAATTAGCTATTTAACGAGATAAGTTGATAGAAGTTGTGATGTAAATACATTTATTTAATTCGTTAAATGATTAAAACATACGGAAAAGAACGTATAGTGATATTTCTTATCGCGCTAATTGAAGATTTCGAAATGATTTTGGCCCAGTAGCAAAAGAGAAACATGCCACGATATTAATACGAAGTTAATAAACGAGACCGCATCGTAATAATCAAAAGGATGTCTTCGTGGCAACTATTCAATTTCATGCGAGTTAATTTTAAATACACTAATAGAAATGTCAACTTGTCCTCTCTTTCTAAGCGATTTAGTAATCGTGTTAAATTTGGAGGTTATCGTAAAAAGATAGATTTGTGGCTTAAAGAACAAAGCACGCAGGTTGCAAAGGCATGTACAAGGCAATGCGAGTTTATAGTGGCACAACGTATTAGACGAAGTATTCAAATATTTCTTCTTTATACAAAAATATGGGACGAAGTGGCTCTTAAAGAAATAATCAAATCGTGGAGAATGCGAGCTATAAAAAATTCTAAAAAATTTCTAATCAGTGCTGTTGGTGTAAATGTTTATAATTGGAATCATGAAAGAATATCTGACGAGGAGGTCAATAGGTAATGATTGTTTTTGTATATACTATAACAAAAATTATAATTACGTAATATGTTTATCAGTTATATTGTAAAGTTCTGTACGTGCTATTACATACATATCCGTTGTTTACGCTTATAATTATAGTTATAGTCAAGAAATAGAGGGTATTTATAAATTGAGAGATTGTACCGTTATATGTACAAACTGTCACCTACGAATTATTATCGATAATGCTAGTAAACAACCTGGAGTAGAATATTGTAAATGTGATGGTGTCAAAACGTCTGCTACCATGAATAAAGATCGTACGTTATGAATTATATCTATTTTATTAAATCTATATATATATATATATATATATATATATTTATTTTTAACAACTTGTAATTGTTATTTTTTTATTTAGCTAACGGTTGGCAACCATATATTGAACGCCAAGACATGTTAGTCTGGAGGAGACAAGAGCCAGATACAGGTTTATTTGCATATAAAGTATATGGATCTTTTCCGGATGTCACGGCTGAAGATTTCTTACAAGTACAGATTGATATAGAGTATAGGAAACAATGGGATATAACTGCCCAAGAATTACAAATTATTGATACTGATCCACAATCTACAACATCTAACAATCATAGTGCTGATGTTATATACTGGGAAATGATTTGGCCTGTATGATTGATTTTAAATAATTACAAATTATATAGATATCAATTTAAAAAAATTATGTATTTGCAGAAACTATTTGCTAATCGAGATTATGTATATCAACGTAGATGGGTTATTGATAAAGATAAAAGGATAGTAGTTATTGTTAGTAAGGGAACTGACCATCCTAATGCACCTGTTAAACCTGGAACTCACAGGTATGTAAATTAAGAAGCCTAAGTTTTAATAGCATGCTTAGAAATAAAGTATTCAAAATAATTACCATATAATAATATAAAGTTTAAATGCAATAGAGTAAGGACGTACTGGTCATATATGGTAATTAGACCTTACACGGATTTTCAACAGCCAGGTATCGAATTTAGCTTAACTTACTTTGATGACCCTGGTATGAGAGTGCCATCAACCATCACTGCATGGGTAGCAGTAGCAGGTACACTATCAAAAATTATAATCTATTAATAATAGTATTATGTAATATCATTTTTGTATTTTTTTTATAGGTTTGTCTGACTTTTTAACTCGTATGAGACAAGCATCCAAAGACTATAAAAAATACAAAATGATGCAAAACAATGTCACGTGTACTAGCCATACAGTATTGGATCAAGAAAATCTTACCGAATATGAAGATTCACATAAAGGTATGAATAAAACCGAAAAAGATAAAGATTTAGTAAAACATGGGATTGTAGAAGAAGATAATTTAAAACACGTTCAAGTCATACAACATGAAAATCCATTAGAACTTATGCAATCTATGGACGAAAACACTGATACAGAAGAAAATAATTTAGAAGAAAATGAAGACAAAGATAATGTTGCTAATTCTATATCTCAAGAAGAAGGAGGTTTATTAAATTACTTTTTTCTGAGTAAATTATTTGCGTGACAAGGAATTGTAATATGTATTTTCATACATATTTTTAAATATTAAAGTCTTTTTCATGATTTTACATGAAAATAACTTTAATTTCTAATCTCTATTTAATTACAAATATGTTGACTTTACATATTAGTAAAATAAAAAAATAGTACATGTAATTTTTATTTTTAATTCTGAAAATTTAAATAATATCGGAGAAACATATATTCATAACGTATAAATGATCTTTTCGAAATTATTTGTTATCATATATGTTTAGAATTAAAGAAAAAAAAAAAGATAAATTTGATGAACAGGTTTGAGAAATCTGTCATTAAAAATCTATGCCATTCTATCAGTGTTATGATTCATGCATTTATTGCAATTATAAAAATTAGTACAATTAGTAATCAATAATAAGTCATATTTATGTGCGATATCAAAGTATATTCAAAAATCAAGAGAATTAAGAAATACTATACAGGAGAAACTTATTATTTTATAACTAATTGTAATCATATAACATCAGCTCATATAGTTTTCTTTAACTTTCGTACATTATTTTTTCTGAACAGTTATATACTGTTCACATATCTCTTTTAATAAAGATCTGTCTTTACTTACGGTCGCCACTAAATTAACTATTTTCTTATTATCATATATACATCCAGTTTCACATGTAATTGCATCCATTAGTTATATACGAAAGACCAAATGATATCTCATATGGCAGTATTATTGCTTTAGTACCTGCTAATACCTCAGTAACATTAGAATGAAAAATTATATATAACAAACAAATGTTGATTTTTGTATTCATATATACTGGAAAAATATTTTTAAAATGCAATATATTTTTATCCGTTAATCATATGCTTGTTATTTCAGTAAAACTTTCGTCATTAAAGCATGCTTCTTCTGCTAACATAGCACAAGAAATAAATACTTCGTCATCTAAATCCAATTGAAAATTGATTTCTTCCGGTAGCTTTTTTGGAGAAGATAAAAAATCAGAACACTCTTCATCGTGACATTTCTGATATATAACTTGTTTAGTTATGTCAACTATCAAATAGATATTATTACTTTTGTGCCATCTTCCTATGTTTTCACAATACCTATGTAATAGTATATTAACCAAAGAATTTTATATGTTTATAATCATTCATTTTTAATAGAAATTTGAAGTATATATAATAATTTATCTTGCTTGCAATTAGAGTGTATATTTTATTATTATCCGGCATTTCTATTTTCATTGCATTAAAAATATGAACAAAAGATATAAGGACAAACTTTTAAAGATGACTCTTTATAAAATTTCTTAATACATTCGAGACTAGTGATATATATAGATCTACGTCACCTCGAATTCTTTACTTGAATACCAGTGACATAGTCTTACATCATTTCAAAATCTGTAGCTAAATGTTGATAGCATTGATCTATTCTAATAGATATTTAATTTTAATTAAACTGTTAAATGTTTATATTTTATATTTCAAGTTATTAAATGCAGTCTCCAGCCAAAGTCTCGCCAAAGTAACACCGGTTATGAATGAGTTAATAATAAAATATACAATCTATATGAGACAATATTATGAATTTTAAATATAAGTATAAATACCTGTAACCAATGATTTCATAAATTAATGTCTTCAATTGCTCGTTATATTTACATAGACGTATTTTTCCTGGTTTAATGATATCTAATATATATTTATCAATTTCAGGATACTGTGATGATGTATTATAGTTTGTTACATTGTTTATCCATTGCCTTTGTTCTTTGTTAGAGTGTCTTATGACCTGTGCCTCATCATTGGAAAATTCAAGTAAAATTATATCCTTTTTTTTTGGAAAATAAGCAATCAAAGAATTGATAAAATATTCCAATTCTGGTTCCTTGTACATTTTTGGTAATATAAATTTACAATCAGATGAAATTTCCAAATGAGACTGTTTACCCCATTTAGTGGATTTGTATATTCGAAAATGTCTATTTTTTGTATAAACCCCAACGTCAATAAACAATTTTCTTCCATTTTTCATGTTAATTATTAATTCTTCAATATGAATTTTGGAAAAAGTACTTAAAATGTCATGATGTGTTTCTGTGCTATTTAAATAATTTGTTATTTCCATACAAACATATTTCATAAATTTTCCTACATGAGAATTATTTTTAAAAGCTACGTCCTTAATAGCAAATATTAAATGTCTGCTAAACTTTTCATTATTTGTAGAATCCAAATTAATAATATTAGATTTATTGCACGGTAGATGCCATTCTTTTAACATAAATGCACACAAAATATCAATGAGTGTGTTAGTCATACGTGAGCCATTATTATTAGGATTCAATTCAAATAGAAATTCTAAATCTACATATAACCAACATGGAGCTCCTTCTGGTATAACCTAAAACGAAATTACATTAGGAATCTTCTTTATCATTAGCAAAAATTAATTAGTTAGTTATTTTACAATGTTACATCTAATTAGAGCAGGAAATTAATTAAAGAACTTAAATTTTAATTTTAATAGAAAATATCAAACAAGTCATATTCTAAGAATCTATTAATTTTTTTAATTAATAAAACCTCATAAGAACATCTTGATTCAGGAGGTCTATCTTTATAATACCACCAATAAACTTCGGGATGAGCTACTACAAATTTTCTAACTCCATCATTCTGTTGATATACAAATGTACAGAGCATTTCATTATCATTAGAATTTTTATTAGCTATAGCAAGTGCTTCTGCTTGTTTATAAAATTCAGCCCAAAACTGTGATGGACCCAAAATATGATCAGGCATTTTCCTTAAGTAATTTATGCTTAATTCGTTTTTGTATTCCTTTCTACTATCAATGGGTTTTAATGTACCCATATTTTTACCATAAAACTGTTCTGGACTGAATCTGTTCATTTTTAATATAAACGCGGCAACGAACTAAAGAAACCCCTCTCCGTACATTTCACATCAATACTGCCAATATTAAAATTTATATATATATCAACGTTAAATTGTATAAATTCAGTTAAATCATAATAACAATAGTAATAATATTATTATATATATATTCTTTTTTTTAATATAAAGTGATATATTCAATATTAATATATTTTTTGTTTCTGCTTTTCTTTATTCGAGTTACTAATAGTTGCATAGAACTATTTTGATTGACCAATATTTTCTCCACGTTGAATTCTAGCAATTTAATTGGTCCTGAGATACGCCATTTGTAATGGTCTCTTAAGGTGACGAAAATACAACCCGTCTCTCTCTTTTCAGTTCTGTTTCCGAAAGTTGCCGTATACTTCTTGTACGTTCTTAATTTATTATTGTATAAAATCCGTTTAATCTTACTTTTTAAAAACACGAATTATAGAAATATATATCTCTTGAATTGTACTGGTATTAATTTTAGTTTTTCCACGTGTTTAAGTGAATCTTAAATTTTTATAATAGTATATTTTCTTATATTAAACATAACCTCTATGTTATGGTTATAGTTAAGTTCACATAAAATTAATTTTTTTACTTTATATTTCAGCAGTTTCTTCAGTGAAGTAAAAAATGGCCAAGTCAAAGAATCATACTAATCATAACCAGAGTAAGTAAACGTGTATTAAATTTGTAATTAAAAGTTCTTTCATTTTTATGCAGTTTTCATATTAACACAAAACCATCCACGACGGGCCAAATAACTTTAAACTTTCTAACTAGCTCTAATTTCTTATAAGTTACAATGTTATTTTGTGAATCAGGATTATATCATATTTTTTGCTATATATATATCTTAAAATTTATGAATTTTTGAAGATGTCATTTGATCCGCTATGGTAGAAACAAGTATACATGAAGCATACGTATATTTATTGTTGAGGATTTAAATCTGATAATAAATTTTTAATATTTTGTGACATTAAATTAATAAATTATAATTAAATGTTTTTTTTTAATTTTTCAGATAGAAAAGCTCATCGCAATGGCATTAAAAAGCCTAAGCGTTATAGACATGAATCTACTTTAGGAGTAAGTGTATTTCAAATTATTAGATTATTAGAGAAGTAATTTCGTTTTTTCAGCGATAAATAAAAGACGATTTTTTTGTTATATTTAGAATCTAAAATATTTTAAATGATCATAAATGATTTGACAAATTCAATTTCTCAGTTATTTCTCTTGCTGTTATGCGACAGTTAACATCCACTAGTGTCTTTATATTTTCTTTGTCTTCTGCTTCAACCAGGTGACCTTAAACATCGTGCATCTTTCAAATCGAAATTATCAAAATGAAATTTTAAAAACTAATCTTGTCACAGGTTCATGTAGCAAATCCTCTCCGTAAGCAGCATATAATTTTTCTCTTTGCTTGCATTGCATAATTACTTTTACAGTAATAAAAAAGCAAAATATGATAAAAAAGCAGACTTTGATTCTTTATTTCTGATACGATGCTAAAAACAGAACAAAATATGACAAAGTTCTAAATCGCATCTAAAATGTCTATTGCTAGAATGTAAAATAATTTTAAAATTTAGAGTAAAGTTGGATTTAATAAATACAACTTACAAAATCTCTGTGCGATAAGCGAAATTACTTTCTAAATTCAATATTTAATATTAAGTTTATTAATTTAGGATAAAATAATACATAAACTAATATTACAGATGGACTTAAAGTTTTTGAGGAATCAACGATTTGCAAAAAAACATAATCTTAAGCCAAAGGCTCAGTTAAAAAGAGCAGAAAAGCGAAAGGCTCTTCGTGAAGCTTCAACGAAATAAGTTGTATTATGTTTTTATTAAAATAAAATTGTAAAATTACTTAATATTTACTTCATTTTTCCTTGTAAGATTTATTTTAAAATAATTAGAATTGATCTATACCATCAATTATAACATAGGCCATTTCGATTAGAGATTATCATATTTTTGTAAATAAATTTATATATTAAAGTCAAAAAAAAGATATAAATGAATATGATTGTAATATAAACGTATGGGTAATATTGCGATGATGTGATCATTTTAAATAAGCAAGCCTCAACATAACCTATGGATTTAACTATTGCTAGGTAAATAAGTACTTGAGTTCGTTGAGTTTGCCACGCCTTTAGTACGTGAATATTTTATTTCTCTTTTGATTTAATTCATTAAAGGTAAAAAAAATTGTATTTTTTATTTTTATAATATATTTATATTCTAAATATAAATAAATATAGCTATTATAACGAATATGGAGGATCAGATAGCGCACAGTTTTGAAAATTCAAGAAAACCTAAGTGTATTTTACTATTTAGTGGAAAACGAAAATGCGGAAAAGATTTTATTACAGATATATTACACAAAAGGTATAGTATTTTTTATTTTTTGATTATAAATTATATATGCGTAGTCAACTATTTACGCGAAAGATATTAATATGCAAGACAAGTATATTGTGCTTCAAGAATATTTTTGAAAAACATGATATTAATATTTATAAACAATTATTTGTATGTAAAATAATACAAGTAAATTTATCAATAATTTATTTTCAATCTAGATTAGGTGATGATAAAAGTGTAATTATCAAAATATCAGGACCAATTAAATTACACTGGTCTAAAAATTCAGGCCTTGATTTAAATAAATTATTAGATAATAGCGAATATAAGGAACAGTATCGCTTTGAAATGATTAAATGGAGTGAATCTATAAGAAAAAAAGATAGTGGATATTTTTGTCGTGCAGCTATTGATATGTATAATGGTATTATATAAAAGATACATTATTCCTTTTAATTAGATTCACGTGTAATAGAATATTGAATTTTTCAAGTGTTTTTTAGTACGTGACAAACCAATTTGGATAGTGAGTGATACTCGTAGAAAAACTGATATTCACTGGTTTCAAGAAAATTATAAAGGTCTTTGCAAAACTATCCGTGTAATTGCTAATCCGGAACTAAGGCAACAACGTGGATGGAAGTTTGTTGCAGGTTAAAATGATGACAACTTGCAAAATATAATTATGGTCTAATGTTTATAATTCTACAACATACTAGAATAATTATTATTTTTAGGTATTGATGATGCAGAAACAGAATGCGATTTGGATGATTTTGATAACTGGGATTTGAAAATTGAGAATAATGGTAATGATGTGGAAACTATTTTAGAAAAAATATTAGAATTAATTAATTAATATATACGTAAAAAAATGTATTTGATATTTAACATATTTGCTTAACCAATATTGCAATATTAAATCTAAATTTAATAATAATTTAGTAATTATCAGTATTAAATTTAGATTTAAAGAGTAAAAATTTAGATCATAAGCTTTTTTAAACTAATTGATCGATCAAAAGAACAAATAAATATAAATTTGTTGTTTATTGATTATTAATTATATAAAGTAAAGTGTATAAACATTTTTGTTTACATACTTATAATCTTACTTTTATTCTATCATTCTTTAATAATTTATAAAATAATATATTTCAATCTTAAGAAATATTAAGAATATGATTAATATTATAGTAAATTATTTTCTTATTTATGAAAATAAAATATAAATTATATATAATAAATATGTATTACACAATCAAAATATAAATATTATATCTATATACATATTTATTTGCATGACAGGTAGTTATCAAAACAGCAATGCGTGCGCATACGTACGAAGTTTTCTGCGATTAAAATAATTCTTTGTATGTATGTACTCTTTAAATGTTACCGAGAATGCTTACGTTTTTATTTTAAAGTTCGCTCCAAACCGAAAAGTAAACCCTTGTATAGAGAATTAGTGCTTTGTTTATTACAGTATTTGAAACAAAGAACGTAAATAGTAAAATGGTCGAACATTCAATTCCTTCCGATATTCTCGACGACCTTAGTAGGTTAGTTAAATCTGTTTTATTCATTTTACTATATACATAATTGCGTACTATTTTTTATAATATAGAAAATTTGATAAAATTCAATTAAAAAAAATTGATAAAGATAAAAATATTAGCAATGATACATAAGTACTTAATATGATTTATTTTATTGCAGTCGTTTTATTATTAATGTACCTGAGGAAGAAAGGAAAGATTTAGTTCGAATATGTTTTCAAATAGAACTTGCACATTGGTTTTATTTAGACTTTTATTGCACAGAAGAAAACCCAAAATTAAAGACATGTAGTATGAAGGAATTTGCTACACATATTTTTCAACACATTCCATTTTTAAAGCCACATGTTCCAAATATAGATACGGTTTTAGAACAATGGAGAGAATATAAACAAAATGTGCCAACATTTGGTGCTATCGTCTTAAATGAAGACTTAACAAAAGTATTATTAGTACAAAGTTATTGGGCTAAAAGTAGTTGGGGGTTTCCAAAAGGCAAAGTAAACGAAGATGAAGACCCTTCGCATTGTGCTGTTCGAGAAGTGTTGGAAGAAACTGGTTTTGATATATCAAATTTAATAAATAAAGACGAATATATAGAATCTGTTATAAATGACCAAATTGTTCGACTATATGTAATATCAGGTGTACAAAAAGATACAAAGTTTCAACCTAAAACTAGAAAGGAAATAAAGAACGTTGAATGGTTTTCTCTTGTTGATTTGCCTAGTAGTAAGAAGGATATGACACCCAAATTAAAGATGGGAGTTGGACCAAATGCATTTTTTATGGTTGTTCCATTTGTAAAGTAAGTATTTTTATGATTCATTGCCTGAAAATTAACAATAACAGTGCAATGATTATTTTTCAAGTAAAATATAGTAATTTGTATTACATAGGAAAATGAAACGTTGGGTACAAGAGAAGCAACAGCGTGAAAAAAATCTATCCATAGCAAGGAGACATAGGCATAAGTCGTTAGGGGATGTTGAATCTATTTCTAAAAGTAAACGCCAACAACAATTATTTTCTCAAGCAATTCAAGTAAAGAAATATTTTATATTAACTAGGTATACGTACATATATGTGTATTAAAATTTTTGTAACATTTATATTGATATATTTTTTTGCATAATGCTTACAGAACGAAGTTGTAGATTCTAAAAGCGTTCGACAATCGAATACATCGCCAGCTAGGAGTCGTCGTAGCTTATACGATAATAAAAATGCCTTATCAAAAGGTGCATTTAAGCGCAATTTGTTTGGTGAACAAAGTGGTGATCGTTCACCATTCCCTCTAGCTCAACAGTTGACGGAGAGTCCACAGAGTCAACAGTCATATTCATTTTTAAATGACCCTGCTATTCAATCGGTTAAGTGCAATGATTTTAATTATAAAGGACGAAAATCTGATGAAGGAATTAAAGGTTTGATAATCCTAAAATATATATTAAAAATTTGTATTATGGATTTACTTTAATCTAAATTATCTAAATAATTTTCTCTCTTTTATGCGTGCCCCATACATGTAATTATGAAATATTTTATATTTTAGGTTTAGCAGAAGGAAATATCAAATCTTTATTATTTGGTGATGCTACGCGTAAATTAAAAACAGATTTTAAAGCTATACCTTCTCCGTTTACAAGTATGGAACGTAATATGCCAACATTTCCGCCACCAATTCGCTTTAGGTTACATGAATATTCATCTGAATTATGCTCTAAAATTTGGGTACATTTTAAATTTGATAAACAGGCAATACTCAATTGCTTGTAAAATAAAAAATATAATCATATCGTGTAGACCAACAAAAAAAAAATTTAAACTTACTGATAAATTCAATACTGTAGTTTACTTTTTATAAGTATATTTTCTCTTGAAAACATATTTCTAAGTATAAGATGTATAAAAACTTTGATATGTTCTGTAGATAATAGGGTTGTAATGGATGGTATTTCATGTAGATATACACTTATAAAATAGTATTTCTTGAAATAGTCTTAAAAAACATATCTCAAAGAAATTTGCATAAATTTTGATTATGTTAAATTTATCACCACATTGCATATTTACTTACAGTAGTGCAATAAATTAATGTCTTTATAACTTTTTATTTTGACATTGAATATTTTATATAATTTAGAACTATATTTCTAGCACTATACAAATATAGTAATAAATGTATATTTTTTTAATTGCATTACATGAAAAATGATCAAGTTTGCATACATCAAAATATGATGGAGCAGTATTTGATATTGTCTTTAACTATTTTCGAAGTCTTCATATAATTTTTTTATTTCATACAACAAAAGAATTTTTGTTTTGTACAAGTTTACGTCAGGATAATTATCGTTGGAAAAGTAATGTAACATTATGTAGATTTTTATTTTAACTAAACGTTTATCACAATCCATCTTAATGTTAAAATATCAGTAATGTATATGTGCTATACGATCACAATTAAGATCTTTACACTGCTTAGTAAATTTTGTATTTACTAATAAAATGTAGTCAAATATTTTTAAATGAATGGTTCGATTGATTCTTATGAACAATAATGATACGTGAACTTATAAAAAATTTGCATAATTTATTTTTTAGAAAAAGTGCAATTAGTAAAAATATATTAAAACATAATTTAAGAAAGGTTTATAGAGAGAATGATCTATTATCGTTATTATTTAAAAAAGACTAGGAAGACAATTAAAATAAGTATGAGTGCACTAATGAAATAAAATATTTTTTTTAAGATAACAGTGCCTGCACCACGTACACTTCTAATTATTTCATTGTTTAAGGCATAAACTATTTTACTTTCTTCAATGAGTTTATTTTTAGTATCTTCATCTAATGTTTCAGCTATTTTATTCATCGTTTCACGCAAATCACGTTTTAATTCAAAAATGTTATGATTTTTAAAGTCCGTGATATTATTGCCACAACTAGTTACTTCTTTGAAAGGTGAAATCTTTTGCATAAGTTGCCTTTTCCTTCGTAAAATAATTCCTCCACTAAGAAGACCCATATAAAGGTGATAAATATATGCCATAAGTAAAGTGGGCTCTGTATCCTCTATTTCTCTTAAACGCATCAGGTATTTAATAACACTGTCTCTAAAAAAAGTTAAAATGCATTGAAATAAATAAATTTAATGTTCACGTAATTATTTGTTTATATATATATATATATATATATATAAAAAAAAAAAAAGTTTCATTCAAATAAGTTCAAAGTTGTTTTGAAACAAACAAAAAAGAGAGAACGAAGTAAAAGAAAATAATATTCTACAATATTATAAATAATTAAGAAAAAGAAAAACATGGAGTACATTCTTGAATCTGAATATTAATGTAAAAAAGCAAATGAACTAGTGAGGTGGTATCCTATGTGAAATATATACCTAGGACTATAATTTTTCATCCATCCCTTTCCTAAATAGTATTCAAGATCTTGTTCAAAAGCCTCAGTACGTTGTAATTCAGTAAGCCGTAATAATCCAATTTTAGTATTTTTTAATCTAATCATTGCACCTTCTAGATAGCGGAAAATTTCATAGAAGACCAGAAGACCATCAGCCCATACAGAATCATCGAGAAATCCTACTTAGAGGAATAAAGCTTATAGATAAGAGAATATAAAAGTTTGATAAGCGATGCAAAGCGATAATAATAATAATAAATAAATAAATAAATAAATAATTATAGCATAAGCTTGGTTCGTAACGTTGATTATAAAGAAAAATAATTACAGAAAAAACATAATACATATATATGATATGCATAATATGATAGCACATTATATTTTTACATATATTTACATACATATAATAATAATAATAATAATATTAATGTCCTAACATTAAGTGCATCTTACCGAATGCTAATTTAGCGTTTACCAAAGCATCACTAATGGCATGAATTTCTCTTGTAGCTTTACGCATTTTTTTACAGAACGTATCTTCCTCCTTGTCCGTCATTTTGTAAGGAGGGTCTTTTTTTAAGTAAACGATTCGTTAGAAAAAACCTTCAATGAAATTCGATTCGGATAAATTTACGTAGTCATTTTAACGAATTCCCGCGCGCTTCATAACTCGTTAGAGAAGAACCGTCACTTCGGAAATACCATTGCTATTATATCGAACGTCCGTGTCATTTAATCACTCGTCATGTCGTCGTCGTCGTCGTCGTTGTCGTAGTAGTTCTGCGTTCTGCGCGGATTCATGCCATAATCAAGTATATCGTTCGTTCGTAAAACCATTGAAAGATGTCGGTACGTACATTCTTTTTTTTTTATTAAACAATCAAATCTATAACATTATTGGAAAATATCAAAAATGATATTTTTCCTTCATATTTAATTTAATTTAATCATTTTTACATATTTCACAAAAATAATTGTTTCTGTAAACGTATTGCAAAAAATGTGTGCGTATATATATGTGTTGTTTATTTGCAAACGTATCATTGTTAATTAGTCTTTAATCAAAGCTTTATTTGATTCTATCGGAAATATTATTTGAAATAGTTACGATTGTGTTTCTAACGTTTGCGTGGTTATTCAACGTGAACATTTCGTAATTAATTGTATATAGAATCAAAGAAATATTAATTTCTTTAAATAATAAGTTACTATATTATTTTACGGTTTGTTTAATTTTCACAAAAATTAAATTAAATAGGAAGAATGTATAAGAACACTAATAATAACATAACAAAAGTGTTTAAATAAATATAAAGAAGCGTTCAATTTTTCGCCATTTTTACGCTGTAAAATATATATACATATATAATATTA